TATATATATATATATATATATATATATATATATATATATATATATATATATATATATATATATATATATATATATATATATATAGCGTTGACTACAGATTTTGTCAGACCCCGAGGCATTTGTTGACTACAGCTCTTATGAGCCAATACATTTGGAAGAGGAGCAACTAGTAGACTGTCTCACCCGTAAAACGCTTAAGGGCTGATGTGGTATGTGGAAAAGAGAGGTTGAGAGCTGATGTCCCACATCCTTTCCAGGGTGAAGTCAGTCAATTTGAAGAGCATAGTAGTCTTCGCTTCGTCGCCTTCAACAATACCCCGACCGAAGGTCGAGTTTTGAGAAATACTTAGTCTTGCCTAATTGGTCGAACAAGTCCGCAATGAACAGGATGGGATACTTGTTCTTCACTGTCACTTTGTTCGACCAATTGGGCAAGGCTAAGTATTTTTCAAAACTCGACCTTTGGTCGGGGTATTGACAGGTGCGCATTGTTGAAGGCGACGAAGCGAAGACTACCTGTGTGACCACACAGGTATGGAGCGTTTGAGTTCTTGATGATACCTTTCGGCTTAACCAACCCTGAATCCAACGCAGGAGATGACATGGACCCGATAACTCCCTCAGGAAGGAAGTCTCAGTCAGGGTAATTGGGCTTAGGCTGTGGGGGTAATTTGTCATAGTTGCCAGCATATATATATATATATATATATATATATATACGCGCATCCTTTCGCTCCACGATCTCAATGCCTATTTAATATAGTGTTTCACTGCCAACCAAAATGAGTAGGGGAAGCTTATTCCATAGTTAAACAGCTCGTTGACTCAACTTTTGACCCGCACTCCTTAGAAGGTAAGCCGTGGCAACTCGTCCGTGGGGTTGTTCCACGCCCTTCTCTTGCACCCAAAACAAGCAAGCGAGAAAAGCATGGGTTGGCGATCGCTCGAGTTGTCCTGTATATATATATATTGTCCACCTAAAGTGTAACGTCCCTCTCTCTCTCTCTCTCTGCGGAAGCCTGCAAGGGAAGAGAAGAAGCATCTTTAAGTACTAGTAATGGGGAGGGAGGTAGCGGGTCATCTCATCATTGACACTGCACTCACACAGTAGCGCAGGTTGATGGAACACCACATCTTCCATGGTGGGATCCGAGTAATTGTCACAAAGGTCCGCGTCACAGCTGACCATCCCCCGACCGGCATCGAGTGGAAGCGAGCGTGTTCGTCCCCACAAGAGACGGGGGGCGCCATCCCTCCACCCACCTCCTCCTCCTCCTCCTCCACTGTCGTGCTCTTCCGGAGTCCTTCGATAGCTTGATGTAGGGTTGATGGAGCCCGCCGCCCACTTCGCCCTACGTTCACTGAGCCACCTGGATTCCCAAAACCTAAGATTTTTGTTGTTCCTTCATCAACTCTCACGTCCACTTCAATCAACCCATCAGTCTGCAAATTTTCTTCCATAAACACCTCGGCTGTTCTCTGGTCCCTCTCGAGTAAATTTGCAGTGGCTGCACCATTATACATTTCTATGTATAGATCCCAAGTGACGTACTTCTCTCTCTCTCTCTTAGGGGCGGCGGGGTTTCGGGGGGGTCTAATCTCGGGTATACTCCTTTTATGGATGGAGATCTAGTAAATGGCCAACATACCTAATTCTACTTGTCTTTGGATACTGCCTTGTCAGAGCTTCTTCTGCTTGTACTTCGCCATCGTAGTACTTCCGTTTGAAGTTTGATCTTTTTGAAGCTTATATTCCGCTACGGTGATCTTGTTCCACGCTTTCTGAACTCATTCTTAATGAAGAACTTGGTATCTTTGACTTCGATAGACTATGGTTCCTTATTGCAGCTGACATCTTCTTCAGGCTTTTGCGTGTGTATATTCCACAGGCAGGCTGTTCAAATTATCCTTATTGCAAACTAAATCAAGGATTAGAGCAGGAACAGAAAGTTGCAAGTCTGGTCAGCAGGCGGGCTTTTGATAAGAAAGTGGAAGAACACAGTTTGGTCAGTATCGGACGAGTCAACGGCTGTTCGATGGTTGCCATAAAAGTCAAGAGAATAAGATGCGAGTGGGTCAATTGGTCGATATGCGATCGCGCGTGGTTCCCGTTGTGGAGCAACACTTTCTTCGAGTTCCAAGCATCCTTCCTTGCATGATGGCTGCTGGTTTTTTGTGGGTCACATCTGTCTCCAATGGTGGACCCCATCTCCTCACAATCTTATTTTGACTTATCAGATCTATCAACATTATATATATATATATATAATATTAGGGCAGAAATATTCATATAACAATTAAATTGTACAAGACAAAAACTAGTTTTTCACGTAGCATTCCGACAAGGAGGTTTAGCAGAAACACCTCACATGATAATGACTGGATTTTAATGTGAATTTATTATTTGGGACCTGGCATATATGTATATATATCCAGATAGAAATGGATAAAACATTGTAAATTACCTGAGCATCTAATTGTGGAATCTAAGAACAAGGGAGATGAACTCTATGAGATCATCGACAAGTAAATTACTAGTTTGATGTCATAATAAATTGTGGCATGTATTATTTATAATCCTTGAATATCCTAAAATATTTTGAACAAATATCTATTTATTATCTCAAAATAAACTACCTTTTATCCTCCTAGAATATATGATTGTTTTTTGTATTTTCCCTCTAATATATATATATATATATATATATATATATATATATATATATATAAAATTTAGAGTAGTGAGTGTGATCTTATTTGTGGGCGGTGGACCACTGACCATTTCCCACTTTAAAAAGCGTGCCACTTTCATCGGTCAAACCCCCCAGAAAGGAGGGGGCATTTGTGCCCACACAAATGTACGGTCGATATCCACATTGCAACAAACAAATCCCTAAGACACGAATCTTAATGTAATTAGATAAACACATATGGTGTATGTGCATAGGTCGATCATGTTCGATTTAGGATAAAGTCAAAGCTGAAAACGGATCGAATTCGAGCTGGTCAAGCGACATCGATTCGAGTCGATCGAGACCCAGATCCTGTGTCGGATCCAGGCGTTCCCTACTCATCACCTGCCCAAAGTGGCGACTACAACCTGCACTTTCTCCCATGGAGTTGCTTGAAAGCTGCTGCGTCAAAGGGAGGAGAAGTATTGCAGCGAAAGGAAGGTTGATGGTCCCTTACCGGCACTAATTATTGCTACCAGCAAAGCCCGGGGTGAGGTTCGAGAAGAGAAGACGATAGATGATAACGAGGGAAGAAGAAACCAACAAAGAAGACTCTTTTATCTCTCCGTCGTGGTTCTGCAGCAGCCCCACCAATATGGCCACCGAAACTGCGAGCTTTTGTGTTCTTCTCAAGGGAGACTTGGCTAAACAGCAGCCCCAGTACTGCTCGTAGATCTTATGACCTAAGTATTATTGATTCAAGTCAAGTAGTGGTGGAGATGGAGGGGAGTGGGAATCTACAGCAAGTCAAAAAGGAAAAGATAAGGCTTCAATCTATTTATAATCTACGCTGCTGCCTCCTTTTCTCTGTGCTTGTTGGCTTTCAACATGCCATGAGAGCTGAGCTAACACAACAACGCAACAGCTTTTGCTCGCTGCTCTTATTTTATGACCCTTATCCCTGCAACCCCATCTCTGATTCTCTCTCTCTCTCTCTCTCTCTCTCTCTCTCTCTCGGCTTTGTACAAAGGGTTCTCCCCACACACACAGCCTCCTCTTCCTTTTGGTTCCATTAAGCATGAGCACCATGGCGCTGGAGTCATGGCTGAGCCGAGTGAAATCGGCCATCTCCACCGGGCTGGACACCGTGCGAACGACGGTGAACGCCGACGCCGCCAGCTCCATTCTCAACCGTAAGAAGGCCAGTAGCGTTGGTATCCTCGCCTTCGAGATCGCCGGATTCATGTCGAAGCTGCTCCACCTTTGGCGGTCGCTCTCCGATGCGCAGATCGCGCGACTTCGCAACGAGACCATCGCTCTACCAGGCATCAGGAAGATCGTGTCCGATGACGAGTCTTTCCTCCTCGGCCTCGCCTGCGCGGAGCTGGTCGAGTCGCTCCGCCTCGTGGCGGATTCGGTCTCCATGTTAAGCCAGCGATGCAGCGACCCGGCCCTACGAGGATTCTGCCGAAGCTTCAGGGAGTTCTCCGACTTCGGCCACGACGCCAACCGATGGGCCATGGGATGGAAGGAGATGGACTCGAAGGCCAAGAAGATGGATCGGTACGTGGCGTCGACAGCGGCGCTATACAAGGAGATGGACGAGCTGTCGGAGGCGGAGCACAGCCTAAGAAAGATCGTTCACTGCGGTGGCGGATACAACCGGATCATGTCGACGAGCAGGCTCGCCATGGTGGCTGAGATCCAGCAGAAGATCTTCTGGCAGAAGCAGCAGGTCAAGTACTTGAAACAGACATCTCTGTGGAGCTGCACCTTCGACGCCGTCGTGTCGCTGCTGGCACGGTCGGTGTTCACAGTGGTCGCCAGAATAAAGCACGTCTTCCTCGTCGGCAGTGAATCATATCCCTTGCCTCGAAGCCTGTCGGGGTCCGCTGCAGTGTACCCGTCCTCCGACACTGTTTCGCTGCCTTGGAAGTTCTCGTCGGGGCCACTGGTGCTGTCGTCGAAGCACGAGCAAGGTGGCTTCTTCGAGACCAGCTCGACGATGCTGGCACCGCCGCCGTCGACGCTGGGCGCGACGGCGCTGGCGCTGCACTACGCGAACTTGATCATCGTGCTGGAGAAGATGATCCGTTCGCCGAGGGCGGTGGGGGCGGAAGCGAGGGACGATCTGTACGGGATGCTGACGGCGAGCGTGCGGGGGCAGCTACGGGCGAGGCTGAAAGGGGTGGGGTGGGGGTCGGCGCGGGACTCGGGGCTAGCGGCGGAGTGGAGGGCGGCGTTGGCGCGGATCGCGGAGTGGCTTGGACCGGTGGCGCACGACACCATAAGGTGGCAGGGGGAGCGGAGCTTCGAGCGGCGGAGCGCGGCGGCGCCCAGGGCCAACGTACTCCTGCTGCAGACGCTCTACTTCGCCAACAGGGTCAAGGTGGAGACCGCCGTGACGGAGCTACTCGTGGGGCTCAATTACCTGTGGAGGTTCGAGAGGGAGATGAGCGCCCTGGCGCTTGCCGCAGACCATGGAGGACTCCAACACTAAGCGAGGGAGTCCCACTGGTACTGCTTCCATATGTTCATCCCTATTTGGTTCGAGTTCAAGGCCGGGGTTGAACTGGTTTGTACATGGCCACATCGTTCCTTCTCCTTCCATCTCTTGTTCTCTGCCATGTCCAAACTAACATGCAGATCGAGCTTTCATTTCTTTTCTCTGTAGTTTCTGGGAACTTGGGAAACCTGACGGTGAATGAAATAGCCAAGTTTGGGTTCCTCTTTGTTCTCTCATGTGCCATGTCCTCGCGTATAGCTCACACATCTGAATCACCGGTGAAGTTTGGAATGACTAACATGCACAACATCCATGAATTTGCACTACCCAAATTCCATGCCACTAATTGTTTAAACTAATTCTTAAATGATTTATCCACTCAAATCTATGTTTATCATGGGATAATTAACCAAATCACTAACCTAAAATGGTTAAGCTCAAATTATTGACAGTAACCTCATCAAGTCATAAACCAATTCAAATCTTTAAATACTCCCAATGTGAAAATTTGATTCGGGGTGTTACAGATGACTAGTTGTATATGTATGAATCTCATCAGACTTGAATCCAAATACAATTATCAAAATCGGAAAGGAGTTCTGATCCTCTTTCATCCCTCCTTGGAATAGATGTGTTATACAACAGAAGATCCATAACCTAGTTGATCATTAAGTAGAAATACACATTTGACGATCGAGCATGACGCTGCTTGCTCTCTGAGTGAGGAATGGCAAAACGAAAAGGATGCCCTTGCATGAGGGATTTTAGCAGTTCAAAGTGGCCGCAGTCTCAAGACTTCCTTTCGATTCCATGCTGTTGATAACTTTCGAATAGTGATCCGTATTAGGCGAAAACTCACTTGCCGATACGTAAAAGGTTGAAGCAGACTGATCACCACTGCCTGGAATTTTGACCACAAGCTAGTGTCGTTGAGTACCTGCAATCAACAAATGATACTCAAGCCATGATGATTGAGAAGTTACTGTTAAATGTATCTTTCAAACAATTACCAAGAGATTGACACAACCAAATGTATCAGGTTGCTGTAGATCCTATGACAAACAAGATCCTGTGTAAGAGTCGAAGTGTCATGCTGGCAAGCACACAATGACTCTCAGACATGATGATATCATCTTGACAAACTTCTTTCTATTGCCCTAATGTTTCAGCACAAGAAATTCCTTGCACCTTCTCCAAAAGCATCATGTTGTTCCTTTGAAAATTAGAAGATAAAGCTGATAAATTGTTTATTTTCGTAGCAAATAGACACCAACATCTCCAAACTGCTTTGCCGTAAAACATGGATCCAAGCCCAAGCCACAAGCATCCGAAACAATTCTGTAGCCACCGAAACCAAATTTTCTCTTTTTCACCACATAATGGTGAAATCTGCGTTGTGTTTTCACTGGTATGAATCTTATGCACCGATCCAAACCATTAGGCCTTTTTCACCAATAATCTCCACATGCGCAAACCCCATGCTCAAAATGGTGAAATATCGTAGTATCCTTGATGATAATCTCGCGCTCAGCAATGCTCGAAATGAGCTTCGCAGCACGGTGACAATCCCCGCACATCCGAAGGTTCATCGTTATCCGGATTGGGGTTTTTGGGGTAGTATTTACGAGCACAAAGGCGATTGCTAGCTTTTCACTATGCACCAAAAGATGACCCTCCTTGTCTTCCTCCTCAACGTCATGAAGAGCAGTCTCGGTCTCAGTAACATATCCCAACTCCTTCAGCCTCCTCATTAGAACATCCAATTTCTCATAGATTTCTTTAGATTGTGGGTGCGACCTATCACCTATATGAAAGGTATGTACCTTGTTCCAAAGCTCAACATTACTACAGCCAGGCAGTTTCTTGATTCCTTTGTTGGTCATCAAATTCCTCACCGACATAACATCTTCCCACCTTCCAGCTCTAGCATAGATATTGGACAAAAGCACATAATAGACAGATTGCTCCGGAACTAATTTGAATAAATGATCTGCAGCAGCCAACCCGATTTCCATGTTTGAATGCACCCTGCAAGCACCTAATAATGCCCCCCACACTCTCTCGTTCGGCTTTATGGGCATCTTCAGAATGAAATCATAAGCCTCATCAACATGTCCAGAACGGCCTAGGAGGTCCACCATGCAAGCATAGTGCTCGATCCTTGGAACAAAATGATAGCATTCTGTCATACACTTGAAGTAGTATTTTCCCTCGTTCAGCAGTCCCGAATGACTGCAAGCAGAAAGAATTGAGATAAAGGCAACAGGATCAGGTTTTACGCCTGATTTCCGCATCTGCTCAAAGAGAGCGATAGCTTTCTTGCCATGCCCGTGCATCCCATAGGCTGATACGATGGAAGTCCAAGAGACTACGTCCTTCCCGTTTATACCATCAAACACCTCCCTTGCAGCATCCAAACTTCCACAGTTGGCGTACGCATCCACCAGAGCATTCTCCAGCACCAGATTGGGGAGCATTCTTTTCCTCTCGATAACTTCATGTATTTTCTTTCCGAGAGAGAGAGCCGACAAGTCACCACAAGCAGGCAGAACACTGGCAAGTGTAACCGTGTCGGGTTCTACTCCAGCCATCTCCATACTTGTGAAGAGCTCTACTGCCTCTGCTGACATCGAATTATTTGCATATATTGCAATCATCGCGTTCCAAGAAACCAAATCTTTCTTACCCATTTCGTCGAACATTTTTCTTATAAGATGTATATCGGTCTGATTGGTGTTTGACATAGCACTCTGATTGGTGTTTGACATAGCAGGCAAGATACTCGCCATAGTACCGGCATCAGGTTTCGGCTTCCGCAGTGCAACCATCTTCTCGCAGAGCTCGATAGCACGGTCGTACTGGCCGTTCTGTGCATACCCAGCAATCATCGCGTTCCAAGACACAACATCCTTAGTCGGCATTTCATCGAACACGCGTAAGGCGTCTGACAATCCCCCGCACCTCCAGTACAAGGCGATAAGCGTGTTGCCCACGAAGATATTGGTGTCGAGGCCAAGCTTGGTAACGGCTCCGTGGAGTTGAAGCCCGCCGGCGAGGTGGTCGGAGCCAGCGCAGGCCTTGAGGACGCAAGGGAATGTGTAATTGTCGGGCTTCACGTGATGGCGCAGGGACATGTCGGCGAAGAGGCGGAAGGCGTGGCCGTGGAGCCCGTGGTTGACGTAGCTCCGGATCATGACGTTGAAGAAGACGGCGTTCTTATGGGGCGCACCGTCGAACACGCGGCGGGCCCCGTGGGGGTCTCCGCACGAGGCGAGGGCGCGCATGAGCTTGATCTGGACGGCGGGGTCCGAGAGGAGACGCGGGCGGTGGAGGAGGCGGGAGTGGAGCGACCGCAAGGTGCGCGGGGAGCGGCAGTCATCCAGAGCTTGGATTAAGGCGGCATTGCCGCCTTCATAGTCGCCGCCTCCGTCGGCGTCGATGGGCGCGGTGAGTTCGTGGGAGTAGTGGGAGATGGCGCGGGGGAGAAAGAGGAGTCTTCGATGTTTGGTCTCTCTGGATACGTAGAGGACAGTGGGAGCAGCAACGACGGTGGCCCTCGTCAACATGATACGATTAAGCCTTCCCATTCGCCCCTATATAATTAATGCACACAAGGTTTAGGTTGAGAAGGGGCAGGCACAGAGCGAGAGAGAGAAACGGGCCGATGGAGGAAGCCTCGTCCCTCTCCAGATTACAGCTTCCTCGTCGGAGACTATTGCTATGCGATTTGTGCCGACGAGGTCTGCTCTCCCCTTCTTCGTTCAAGCTGTGGCTAGTAACCAGCTCGATGCACGGAGTACAACCTCAAGAAGGCGGGCAAACTCAAGTAACATTTACTTTCTCAACTCTTAAGAGAATGGGTGAAACCGAGTACCCCAATTCTCTTATCTATCCAGGAGAGGAGCTCTGTACAAGTTCAAAGACCCTTTGAAGATAATGAAAAATAATAGTTGTCAAATCCTCACCAATGGTGATCAGTGCTACTGAGAATAGATTGTCCGCTTCATTTCCCAACAAACATCTCATCTTGCTTATCATCATCTTCCCTTCCTTTCCCTATAGAAGGGAATCTCATGCATCCAATGTATGTTGGACAATACCAATGTCTGTAGTCCCACTCTTATCACTCGGCTAATCTTTAGTCATCTTATCTCGTACATAATTTTATGTCAGTTGGTATGCATAGGAATCAAATCCTGCTCGTCGAGGGAAAATAAAAATACTATGATTTAGTTGCACTGGAGGCAGGAATTTAGTTGGCCTTTTCCCATGTTAGTTGATCGGAAAGAAGGGAACACATGCAGAGGAACCACGTGATCTTTCATGTCCCCCTCTCCTGTGGGTTGTGATCTTTCGTGTCCATGCAAGGAGAAGGAGAGGGAGAGAGTGTATGCATTCTACTCTGCTCTCTCCATCTTCCCGTTCTCTCTCTGCTTCTTGGTTGGTTTCATTATTGTTCCTGTGTCTATTTCATAGATAACCAAAGCCATGGAGAGAGAGAGAGAGAGAGAGTGAGAGAGTGAGAGAGAGAGAGAGAGAGAGAGAGATTTGGGATGGATATGGGAAAAGAGAGGGTCAGGTTGTGTCCTTCACAAGCCCAACAATGGCACTGAAAGATTAGCCCGACACGCCACACACCCATGTCTTGACCTGCCGTCTCTCTCCCCCACCGCAATGCCATTGTGCCAAACTTCCTCGGTCTATATATAGCACCCGTTAACTCCCCTTTTTCGACTCGAGCAACCGCCGTTACTCCACTGCAGTCTGCCGCTGGTCTTCCATCTCAAAATCCCAGCCGTGAGTACAGAGAGATGGCCATCGGGAAGGGCAACAAGCTTCCGCAGGCGGCGGCCATCAAGCAGATGCTGAAGAGGTGCTCGAGCCTGGGGAGGAAGCAGGGCCTGGACGAGCAGCTGCCGGGGGACGTGCCCAAGGGCCACTTCGCGGTGTACGTGGGGGAGAAGCGGAGCCGCTTCATCGTGCCCATCTCCTACCTGAAGCGGCCCGAGTTCCAGAGCCTCCTCCGCCAGGCCGAGGAGGAGTTCGGCTTCGACCACGACATGGGGCTCACCATCCCCTGCGAGGAGGTCGTCTTCCGTTCCCTCACCTCCGTGCTCCGGTGAACGCCTCGCAGGCCGAAGCACCACCACCGACTGCTGGTGTTCCTTCTTTCTTTTTGTTCCCAAACCCCACATGTACTGCTGTGGGTTGGATTTGTAGATCTTAGAGCGGCCTGCGTCACGCGCCCCCCTGTGAAAAGTGACTCGACGAGAACAAGGGAAAACAGGGCTTCTTCCCCTGTTCGTATGCATCTCTCCTTTCTCAGATGCACTGTTCTCGCATTTTACTGCGTAAAGAATTCATAAACTCAAATCACCTGGTGAACAAGAGATCATAGAAGCTTTTGCCAGAAGATGGGCTACATAGGATAAACAAATGCATTCGATCCTGCAATCATGCTGATGACAAAGAAGAGGGGTTAATATGGTGCAAGGAAAGCTTGAGAGCTTTCGAACTTTGGCATCAAAACTGTCGAGCAGTAGTAACACACGTAACATCTCAGTAAGTTTGCACAAGAAATCTCTTTCTGCTGGACAAAAGTCTTTTACAGGCACAAAGAAGTCAACCAGACAATCCAAATCGTCAATCTCATACCCTCCATCTATGGCACCACTTTGGCATGATTAGTAGACCAAGAGGCCAAAGAGCTGATTCATCGTTGAGATACGGTGACTCTTAATCCACCTGTCTTCCATGAAATCAAATCAAACACGAGATAAGGAAAGCAACTCCCGTTAGGACACTCGGACTGAGCTCCAATCGCACAAACTTGCTTCCGGAAGGAAGGCTTCTCGCAGCGTCGGCAGTTGAAAGGTGAAACCAGCAGTCCCAAGTCATCATCACACTCTTGTTTCAAGAACATGAGAGCTTTGACCATGGCAAGTGCAGGAAGTCATCGAGTGGGACTCCTCCACGGTAGCTAAATCCTCCCAGTCTTGAATGTCTAGTTCATGTTCCTTCTGCACTATCTGTTAGCTGTCCTAAAGTGCATGTGATCGACTGAGGTCTCTTTCCTGTTCTTCCCTATCTGGCGAGAGAAACAGTACCCGATGAGCTCACCCATGTGTTCTATGCTTGTTTCTGCCACAGACATATTCTCTACCCCACATTTTGGTCAGCAGCAGTGACTGCTTCGGGTTGGAAGGATCAAGCAGGGCAAACATCCTTATGAGTATCAAATCTGCAATCCACAATTTCATCCAATAGCAGCTGCTCCACTGTATTCAATCAAAACCAGGAAGGGTTACATGAACAAGCATCTGTCATCGACTTTTAAACCTTGTTTGATGTTTCACCATCCTAGATTTTCTTACATGATAAATTGAGATGGTTGACTCCGTATCCAGACATTTGAACCTATATTTATATACTCTTCTTTCGTTCTTCCTTTCCTTGTCTCATCTACTTTGCAGTGTTCAATTTGGATTAGTACCTCAGTTCTTTATAAGTAACTAAAAATATGTGGATGTGTATGTCCACCTAAAACATACTAGTTATTAACTTGAGGCTATTATGGATCGTCTTATCCTCGCCTTTGTCATCAGTAATCCAAGATAAACAAGTGCTGATTCATAGTTGATGCTCATGACATGTAATCTATAGGACAAGCATCATCTTATGATCTAGGTGAGGAATTTTTTGCCTGAACAAGGAGAAGACAGTAAGGACCAGTCAAGTTTGCATTGCCTTCTCTAAAGATAAAGAGAAGGCTATTACTGATCGTCTTATCCTCGCCTTTGTCATCAGTAATCCAAGATAAACAAGTGCTGATTCATAGTTTATGCTCATGACATCTAATCTATAGGACAAGTATCATCTTATGATCTAGGTGAGGAATTTTTTGCCTGAACAAGGAGAAGACAGTAAGGACCAGTCAAGTTTGCATTGCCTTCTCTAAAGATAAAGAGGTGATAAGAAGAAGAAGAAGATGCTGTTGCAGAAAATGAATGGTCCATTACACATGGAAGGTTTCAAGGAAGCTTGAACCTTGAACATGACCCAAATCCAATATTTTTGGTGAGACACTGCATCGTCCTTGTCTAGCCGAATCAGTCGAGGATTTCAACCTAGGAAGTTTATATATATAGAGAGAGAGAAATCAGGAAGTCTTTGTTCATTCTTCTGTAAGATATATCAATAGAAATCTTCATGTTGCTATTCCCAGCACTATGGCACTTCAAAAAAGTTTGAGAGAGAGAGAGAGAGAGAGAGAGAGAGAGAGATTGCATGAGCCTATCTCTATCTCATTTGACCCGTAATGTTTATTCAAGATAACTACATGCCAGAATTATTTATCCTTGTAAATGCAATATTAATAGTAACAAGAATCATTCCAGTGATTCAAGAAAGAAAGCAAAGGCAAGTCACATGGTTGCTACCTTATCCTGGCATGATTGGCATTGATTTATTGCTCCAAAGTCTATGCGAAAGATATGACTAACTTAAATATTTATTATAGTGTATATGGATCATTACAAAATAGAATAATTATATGATTTTTTTAATTAATAAATAAATAATAAATATTTGTTTCAATCATTTCATGATGAGGAGATCATTATGACAGTATTATTATGATTCCCATGATTTAAGAGAATCATGATAACATATTAACATCATTTTTATGATTAAAAATTATGATAATATATTATCATAATTCATGTGATTGTGAGAATCATGGCTCAACTTTCACCTCTTGTCTCTATAGTAATAATGTTCTTCCTGTTTAACCTTGTATTAATTTTATTTGTAAATAAAGCGAATTGGATGTTCCTAATATTATATTCGAAAAAGTTTGTTTTAATATTATATTTCTCAATATCATCCTTCCTAATATGTTCCTACATATTAAATATATTGATTTTAGACATGAGTAAAAATACATATTAATGAGACAAAATGATTGATAAGGTACAAATTGGACGGAGGATAAGATATGAGAGACATATAGCTCACTATTTGAACTTTTTGTAAAAATCGATAGTTAAATATTTTATCCGAGAGTAAAATATAAAATTAGCACGTAGATATTCTTTTAAGATATCATCATAATATATAATTAGAGATTAAAAAATATGATAAATATTTTTTTAAATAATGATTGAATCTAATAAAATATACCATAGCCTCTAGAATGTTGTTCCTTGAAATTTCAAGAAATTTCAAACTCATTCATCTCATAAGCCAAGAATGCTTCCTCAATCACACATTCATCTCATATCATTTTCAAACTCTTTTAATTTAAAAAATATTATTATCTCCAATAATAATTCCCATTATTTAAAATAATCATGATAACATATTAACACAAATTTTATTATTAAAAATCATATGATATATTATCATAATTCATATAATCGAAAGAATTATTAGATTTCTCTTTCTTACTAATATCATCTTTCTCAATTTAATCCTTCACAGTACTATCCTCTACAGTATCTATTTCCTCTACCATGTATATTTCCAAGCGAAAACACCAAATAAAATTCTCAACAGTTCATTTTCTACTTCCACTAATACTTTTTGAGACACATAAAAATAATTAATTCGATATAACATAATTTTATTGAGATTGTGTTGACTACCTACCTCACACAGAATCTCTGCCACGTAAGATGGAAAATGAAAACACTTCCTCACTACCTGACAAATAGGACACTTGTAT